TACTAGTAATGCTATTAAACATTACTAATATTCCCTTTAACCACTTCTGATAAGCTTAAAATGCTTGTGTTAGATATCATTGCGCATGCTAGACAATCGTGCTAGGCTCTCAGAAATAAGAGGAGGCCTGTGTCCAGCAGTGAGACGTATATTTACCTTACTTTACTTTTAGCTTATTTAATTCGTTCGTTTCTTTGTCTGCAGGCTGCGTGTTTCCGGCAAGGTGGCAGGGGCGTTGGTTCCAGTCGGGTGTGATCCAGCCTATTCTGATAGAGGGAGATAGACTATCTAATAAAGGAAAATGCATCTCGTCCGAAGGTGACAAATTCCTTATAGTCGACGAGTAAGTATGCTTTTTGTACTTGTATTCATTTAGCTATTTGTGTACAGATATAATAAAAGAGTTTAAAAAAAACTTGAGCTGTGAAGATCCTGATAATTATTTCGTTTTATTCTTGTGATCCTGATCAGGATACTAGGATAAACTTATTAAAATATTGTATTGTCATCGGTCCTTGATACGTGTGCAAATTTTCAAGTCAGTCAGCCGTCCACAAATTGGTGAAAATTACATTAAAAGATTTTTTTTATAGAATAAGGGTGACAGACGAGCACACAGTCCACCTGATGGTAAGTGGTTGCTGTGGTCCATAGACATCTACATTTATCCTCGATTACGAATCAAAATGCAGATGCGTTGTCACCCGTGAGGACTAAGATGGAATGCCTCTTTTCCAGTAAAAAGGAACTCCGGTTTTCTACACTCACCATACGAAACACAGCAGCGTTAAGCTGCTATTTTACGCTGGTATTCTGTGAGAGCGTGGTCCTTCCCCGATCGAGTCGACCCATATGCCATTACATATCTATGTATATATAACATGTATCTATCTACATGTTAAGATAATAAAAGCGTGTTAAAAAGATTTCTGTTTTGTATTGAATCTTCTTATTGAATATTATAATTCGTTTCATCCAACATGATTTTTTTTTCTTATATTTAAAAAATTCTGTTCAAATATGATTATTTTATTTATATATTTATTAAGTACTGCACCAGCTGCCATCAGGTGGAGTCTTAGTCAAGCACTAGTTAACCATACATATAAAAACGATTTTTTTTAAACTGGCTTTACGGCACTGGGTTCTAGCCCTTCTGAACCTGATACAAAAACGAAATTTACCAACTGTTTTTCTATAGCCTAGCATGTCGTAAAATTCAACTAATGGGTTTATGATTATGTAGCCGATGGACTGGCAATGTATCTATTCTTTCACAATATAAATTTATTTACGCAAAACGTGGTCCGAAAAGCCCGCTGCTCTTGGGTCTCTGTCTACTCTTTAAGAATCACAGGTGTGACTTTAAGCATATACATAAAGGGAATGTTTATTAGTTTGTTTCGCATGCGTTCCTTACTGGTAAAGCATCTGAATACGATGACATTTTGTTCAGTTTTTCCGTGCACGCATCGCGAACGTATCTAACAAAAGAAGCATTAAAGCACACGCCAGGCACAACTAAATATTTATAAAGAAAGAAAGCCACAAATTACTTTCACTCACAAGCTTACCATTCGAAGTAAAATAGTCTGAATACAATTATTAAAAGTATTAATCTGTATACAATTCCGATTTTACGGCTTTTCGACTTTCCATTACCAACTTTCCGAAAATTGTCTCTAAATTATACGTGAAAGTTCTGTCAAACAAAATGATCAGGCTAACAATTTACCCAACGAAGTTTGAACATCCTTAAATAAATTTACTTTGGTATTATTGTAATGCAAATTATGTGATGAATATAATTTAATAATATTATACGAGATAGTTATTTGTGTTAGACCCACAGAAATCTAAATAATAAGGCTAAGAGCTCACCGAAAATTTCTAACCTCGCCAGCGCCTATGAAATGATTGATTTAAAAGTGCTGCTTCACCATGTTTGTTACGGTGAAACAAAACATCAATAGAAGTATAGAAGTGAGTGTCACAAACGAGCACACAAACCGCCTGATGGTATGTTTTTGATCACGTAATACATATGCTAAGCAAAAGATAGATTCAGATCAGATCTCAAATTTTATTAGACGGCTCCGTGGCGCAGTGGCTTAGCAATGAATTGTTGTGCTGGGGGCCGCGGGTTCGAACAAGTATTTGTATGGCCTACAAACAATTGTTCCGGGTCTGGATGTTTGTCCTCGTGCGATCTATGTTTGTAAACTGCCTCCACGATACAGGACACGAAATCCTAGTGTGGGGGTAACGTTAAAAGAAGAAGAAAAAAAATAAGAATACATTTAACATCAATTTCTAACAACAACTCAGTTTTTTTACAAAAACTGTAATAGCATTAAAACTACCTTAATAGTTCTGTCAAGATTGAACGGCCTACGCGGAGAGCGCCATGTTCAGGTTTGAAGCGATAACATTATGTAAATATTGTATATTATATATTATTCACATTCTGAACAGTAAGTGAATGTTGTAACCTACGGATGTCTACATTTATCCTCAATTAAGAATCAAAATGCAGACGCGTTGTCCTAGGACTAAGATGAAATTCCACGTTATCAGTAAATAGAATATCCTGTTCTCATCATACACCATACGAAACCATATATTTATTCTTAAGGATTATTTTGCTACAGCTTTTACGTGGTAGAGCCATGCTGTAGCTATATTAGTAGTATAGTTGTAGCACGAATGGGTCGGCTCGACCGGTGAAGGACCACACTCTCACAGAACACCAGCGTAAAATAGCAGCTTAACGCTGCTGTGTTTCGTATGGTGAGTGTAGAGAACCGGAGACCATTTCTACTGGAAACGAGGCATTCCATCTTAGTCCTCACGGGTGACGATCATCTGCATTTTGATTTGTAATCGAGGTAAGATGCATTTTTTATAGGCCGCAGCAACCACTTACTATCATGTGGACTGTGTACTCGTTCGTCACCCTTATCTTATATAAAAAAGCACTTTGTTTCGCAGGCGGTTAAAGATACTGCTGCCCATCTCCTGATTCAGTTTCCCTCAGTCGCCTCTTACGACACCCACGTGACAGTATGGGGTAGTCGATATACTTCCACCACCACTAAAGTATTATCACTAATCTGCATTTTAAAACAAATGTCTCTCCACTAAGTTCAAAGTACTAGTCCATATTAAATGGCAACAGTCAACGCACGGTTGGCTAACACTTTCTACAATGTAGGAAACTGCGTAAAATACCGTAACACCCTGTGCAAGTACACACCTGTCTTTATCACGGTTGCGTTTGGCTTTCGACTCATTGAACCGCCTAAAATTGATGCTCGAGAAAGACTGAATCTCTAACTGGATTCGATTGATGTATTCCAACGATACATCCAAGCAAGGTGAGCCGGCTTTTTCACGGAGACACGCTTGTGTACTGGAAGCGCTGAATCTTACAAGATTGGCATCGCCTTATTCGAAGGCTGCCTCATATTCTATTTATAATTGAAAGTATTCGAGAAAAATATATAAAATACACCAAATACATGTCGCAGTCAATTAGCTTAATTAGCTTTTCAGTTAACAGACTGGCCGTTTTCTCTTTCCTGTCAGTCATAAGATGATACGGAGCAATACTTGGTTAACATTGTTATAAAAAAAATATTACATCACATTGTGGCATATTTATTTTATATAATTTTCTACTTAATATATACACGCACACACGAGCACTCTCTCTCTCTCTCTCTCTCACACACACACACACACACACGCACACACACACACACACACACACACACACACACACACACACACACACACACACACACGCGCGCGCGCGCGTTATTGTCTTTTTAAAATTTTATTTCTCTTCCTGCAAACAATGTAAAGGTTATTGTTTCTTTCTGAACTATGAGCTATATTTTATATTAATAATATTAAAAATAAATAAACTAACTCACAGATATTTATAAAAGTAGAAAAATGAAAAAAAATTAAAATGTGCAAAAAAATTAAAGAGCAAACCACTAACACATTGTTTTATGTATTAATTTTAATACTCTAGAAACTGATAAACTGTTATTAAAAAGCAACTTCTCAATTAAATTACACTGTGTAACAAGAAACTTTACCTCAGTGTCAACTAGCGACATCTGGTGAACAGAAAATTATTAGCCCTCATTAAACTAGTTGGCTGCGACATACATATATCACATAAATCTCATTATGTTATACTGAGTGTTTACTTATAATAATGATTGTAATAATAAATAATATCTTCCACTCGAAAATATTTTTATGTTCGCCATCTATCTAATCCTTTCAATACCATCGCCCCATTCGAAGACTGCCTGTAGTCTCCGAATGGGGCGATGCCAATCTTGTGAAGTTCAACGCCTCCAAAGCACAAGCGTGTCTCTTCACTGCAAAAAGGAGCCAGCTCTCCTTGGCTTCTTCTTTCCGACATGTATCACTGAAATATACCGACCGCCTTCAGTTGTTAGGGCTTGAAATATCCTCAAATTTGAACTTCGGGCGGTTCATTGAGTCCAAGGCCAAAGCAGCTGCAAGGAAGCTGGGAGTCCCTGCAAAGGTGCGGCGATACTTCACGCCGGGACAACTGCTTACTTTATATAAAGCGCAAGTCCGGTCGTGCATGGAGTATTGCTGCCATATATAGGCTGGTGCTGCAAAATGCCACCTAGCAGATTTAGACTCCATGGAAAGGCGTGCTAAGAGGCTTATTGGTGACCTGAATTTGAAAACGTCACGTACTCCTAGATGCATAATTTCAAAATGAAATGTTCATAACTTATTTCAGCAAGTTCATTTTAAAGTAAATACATCTATATATAACTTTCATATCTGACTCATAATATGTTGTCAGTAAAAAAAACCCCAATGAATATGCAAATTTGTATAAACATTTCGTAATGATTCGTGTTACACGAAGATATTTATTTTGTAACAGATATCTGAAAGGGCTTATTTTTCACAGGAAGGGTTGTTACCGCTGCGTTGTGATGCACGAGAAACATACTAATGTTCTGCAATACAAAGAAAGTAAGTACTACATTTTTTTTTAATATTTTTTTTTGTTACGCTAAGACTGCGATTTATCATCTAGGGCTTGAGCACCTCTTACCACCAGGTGGGATTGTGGTCAAGCACTGGCATATAATAAACCTCGTACCTCGGCACAAAATTGGAAGAAAGTGGTCTTTACATTGAGTTATATGTACTACTTACTAGAGAAGCTATTCCAAACAAAAATTGTGCGCTACTCTATATCTTCGCGCATGCGCGGGAGTAGTAGTCGCGCATGCGCGAAGACTTTAATTTAATATAAAATAAGATATTAATATAAAATAAATATAAGAATTTAATATAAAATATCTTAATTTAATCTAAACAAACATATTTCTAAATAAAATGTAATAAATAATTATGTTATGGATTTCACAAATCTTCAATTTACGCAATATTTAGTTTAGTGTACGAATTGCAGTACAGTTGAGTAGAACATAGTCAATGTTCGGAATACGAAATCTAGTGCGTAGTACATATATATATATATATATATATATATATATATCGATGGGTCTTTATTAAAGTTAAATAATCAATGAAACAACACTCAATCCATACATAAATCAGTAATAATATCTTAGAAATTACATCAAATATTATCGTCGAAATCCTATACGTCAAATAATTATAATTTTTAATATTAGATCCGGTAGTAAGCTTTTACGTTCCCCAAACAAAGGTAGATAAAGGGTTATGAATTCTTTTAGGCAGCTACCATATAGACGATTGTGAATCCTCCATTAGGAAGTCTAGTAATGGTTTATAACATCCTCTAATAATATAATTTTTAATAAAAAATACTTTTGTATAGATTTATGACAGATATAAAAAATAAAAACAAGTGATATAAAGAAACGTTACAGCCTACATACGTCCCACACCTGGGACCTGGGTACTGACCTCCTCCCATTCCTGAGAGGGTTTAAGTCAAAGAAGTGACTACATCTTTGAAATATGTATATTTTTAATTTCTTGAGCATGCAGATTTCCCCACTATGTTTTTATTCAACGGCCTAGTGCCTCCAATTTTGAAAAAAAAAATTACTTTAGAAGGTTGTATATGTCTAAGGAAAGTCCAACTTCCACCGAGAGATCAATCGATGGATCCGTCTAAGCGAGACAGATTACGACACGTCTCGTCACGTATACTTTAAAACTTGAAAACAAGAGATGACATGGGATCTTTTCATTTACCTCAAAGTATTTTAAATGATAATATAAAGGTTTGCTACAAGTGAATTTTTTCCAGCGTTCTGTCATCGCCGCGACGCGCTGCCCCACCTGTGCTCTCTCATCACCGGTGACGCGCTGCTGTATTCCATGTTCAGAGAGAATGCGGAACCAGTTGACTGTCCTCTTAAAGGACCCTTCTCGTTCACTTATAACAGGTAAATTTCTTATATTATATTTCTTCTTCATTTTCATCATCATCAGTCAAAGTCCACGGCTGGACATGAGCCTCTCCATTGTAGCGAGGATTTACTCGTCACATATTGCTACTGTTTAGGTAGCGCTGTGTTTCAGTCGTTTATATATAAACAGTAGGGACATGTTGGTGTTTTGTAAGCAAGTGTTAAGATGATACTGGACACTGGTGAATCGTACCAGTGTGAAGCTGAGAGTGAATCGGTAGTATTTTAACAGTAAAATCTTTAATATAATGCGTATTTATGTAATCAACAGAAACGACTTACAAGGACAACAGTGTAAAACTATAAACATTCTTTAACACACAACACTGGTTGAAAATAGCTAGCTTAAAATTTATTGAATGGAATAATATCTTTAAAGTTTCAAACTGTTACAAGAACGTGAAACAAAAAATAGTCAAAATTAATCGACTATTTGGCTTTCCAACCAAACAGCGAAGGCAGTTTACCTCACCATCAGTTTGCCGCAGCTCGATAAAACTGTCACGCACTGTCTTATTCATTTGGTTCGGAAGCGGCCAGCGCCGCTTGGCATTCGACTTAATAGTGATGTAACTTCATTTATCGATAAAAAACAGCATATTTATTTATCTTTTCACTTCTCAACAAGTATGTGTGTAGCAAAAATATTTACTTTTAAAAAACGTAAATATTTTATAGACATATTATTTACATATTATATTGTATATCGATACAATAATGTGTATTCCTTTTGTTGCTTGTATTCCATTCAAATTCGCTTCGAAAGCAAATAGTTTTATTCACATGGATTCACAATATATCGTTGTGGCTAAGATATATTTATATGAGATATAAAATATATATGTATGTTTAATTCAGCGGCTTAACTAATTTTGAAATTTCATATACATAAGAATTTTTAAATACATAAAATACAAATGCAAAATATACAATTCTTATTTTTAGTACATGTTGTAAATATACACTATGGAATATATAATATTAATATATTGATTGTTCAAAATGCTGCTTCTGCTCTCTGATATGGACCTGTCCAGTTGTGGGGAGGATTTGTATCTATTTACACATTTGTACTATTATTAAAAACATATAACTAGTATAGTTTATAAAATTAACTTAGGTTCAAAGTTTAATAGCTTCAAACCAACTAAATTAACTATTTAATTGTCTTTGAAACGAACGCAGAAAAGGATTATATGCAAACAAAGCTGCGAGCACATCTAGTAATACAATATAGATATAGTTTTCGCCTAGAAATCAAGAACATACAAGACTTATTATATCAATTAGGTGTCTGCAGAAGGACGTGTGTGCCTTGTAGTGTGACGTATTGTATACTGTTACTGTAATTGTTAGAACTTCATAGTCGAATTGGCCTTAAGGTACAATTCATAAATGCCATAAAGCACAATTCTGAGCCAGATGCATCTCCGATACTTTATTTTATACTTTAATAATTAAATTTATATTATAATAATTAATATTTAAAATTATAATTTATTAAGCCCTTAATTGCAGCATACGGTAGCGTAAAATAATCAATTAACCCATTTCGTCCCATGGGTGTCATAAGACTATGAGAAATATCAGAAAAATCTTGGGATATCCAAACTTTTTATACGTGGTAGAGCCATGCTGCAGCTATATTAGTAGTATAGTTGTAGCACGAATGGGCCAGTTCGACCGGGGAAGGACCACGCTCTAACAAAACACCAGCGTAAAATGGAAGCTTGACACTGTTGTGTTTCGTATGGTGAGGGTAGAGAACCGGAGACCCATTTTACTGGAAAAGGGGCATTCCATCTTAATCCTTACGGGTGACGACGCATTTTGATTCTTTGTTGAGGATAAATGTAGATGTCAATGGGTCACAGCAACCACTTACCGTCAGGTGGACTGTGTGCTCGTTTGTCACCCTATCCTATTAAAAAAAAACTTCTTATAAGTACCGGTATAACCTAGACGTCAAATACCCAGACAGGAGGAGACGTCGGGTACTGAGATGGTCAACCTACCTGCAAAGCGTGAAGATTAAGACAAAGCCTCTACAATGTGAGAGGTCCAGGATAGAGGTCTTGCTTGGACATGGACTTCTCACATTGACAATTACGGACTGACAAAGAAGAAAAAGAATTTAAATTTACCTTTCCGTTACCTTTATCTTTTTTTAAATAGAATAAGGATGACAAACGAGCACACAGTCCACCTGATGGTAAGTGGTTGCTGTGACCCATAGACATCTACATTTATCCTCGATTACGAATCAAAATACAGATACGTTGTCACCCGTGAGGACTAAGATGGAACGCCTCTTTTCCAGTAAAATGAGTCTCCGGTTCTTTACACTCACCATACGAAACACAGCAGTATCAAGCTGAAATTTTGCGCTGGTATTCTGTGAGAGCGTGGTCCTTCCCCGTTCGAGCCGACCCATTTGTGTTACAACTATACCAGAAATATAGCTGCAGTGAGGTTCTACCACGTTTAAAAATCTTTACAGTCTATCAAAAGTCCACTGCTGAAAACGGCCTTCCCCATAGATTGCTTATAGGGAGTATATTTGCTAGAGTTGCCACACTTTGCACGTGGGTTGGCAGCTGCTGTTTTTTTTTATTTGTTTATTAAAAACGCTGCTGCCCTGATGTGTTTCCCTGTGTCACCTCTTACAACACCCACGGAACTATATACAGTGTTGGATATTTTTACACCGCCACTACACGGTTCATTTACTTTTCAATGGTACCGCGTAATAAATATTGCAATTTTGTTTAACAATGTGATATTGCTGCCAAAGTAAGCACTGATGTATTTAACTCGCGCTGAAAGTTATAATTTAAATAAATACGCTCAGCTCCTTAGTCTCCGCACTTCACTAACAACCCGTCAGGCGTTAATCCTTAAATTAATTAGCTACGAAAGAAGAATTAGTGACGCTATATATCCGTTTTCGTGCTCTACAAACTTACGAAATAGCAATGAACGTTGTCACTAAATTTCGCTATAGATTTAAACATAAAACGGTTTATACATAATCACAGATAACTCGTAATTTACGTAGTGATTGTATCATTTTTAAACGGATATCGGTTTTAAAACACAATGTTAATTTTATAATTTGGGGGATAAGTTCATCATTGAATATAGTATATTTACTACACTACTCTACACTGCCCCATTATAAATTCCACTGCTAAATATAAACCTCTCCATAGTTTGAAATGGAAGACCCGAAAGTAAAGAGGTGGAAGCTGAAAGTAAAGCGGTGGGCCCTGCACCAGCAAACACATTTAAAAACAGGAAATACGGGCTCATTTTTTTTATAAATAGTTCAATACTGCTAATTTTTCATCAGGATTATGGTTAATTTTATACCTCTTTTATTTGAATATTTACCATTACGATATGCGATATACTATATATAATTAAAATATTTTGGCCGTGGTAGGTAAAGGTGTGATCCAGAGCCGGGCGAGGTTTTCAGACTGGGGAGCGGCCAATGTTTCGTATGGTGGAGTAGTTCGAAAACTTCGATAGTGTGATTTATGCTTCAGTTTTGGTTCAGTCAGCTTGTACTGTTGTGACACCACGACAGCCTTACCATTACATAATTATTTATATTATATAGAGATATGCATATTCTAACATCTATCCAAATAAATAAAATTGAAATGTCTATTTGTAATGTCGAAATAACAGCTTTTTTACTAAATGCATATGAAATAATATACGGTACTTATAACAAAAACGCGATTTTTAAAATGTTTGTCTGTCTGTCTTTCTGTCTGTCTCTCTGTCTGTTTGTTTGTTCCGGCTGCTCTCCGAAACGGCTGAACTGATTTTGACCGGACTTTCACTAGCAGATAGCTGATGTTATAAAAAGTAACTTAGGTTACTTTTATTTTAGAAAAAGAATTAGGGTTCCACGCTAAAAATTAAAATCATGAAATTATATGTAATTCAACAAAGCCTAAATAAATAAATAAGTTCTTAGATCTATGGTCTTCCGCAGTGTAATTAAATTGCAGTGCTTAAATGTTGCATGCAATAGTAAAATTAAAGTAGCATAAGGGTTAACCGAGGTAAATTTCTATAATCGTCACCTCTAATAAAAAACTATAAGAATGAATTAATTCAATATTAATACACGTAACAGTCACGTATCGACGAGTTTTGTCATTCGCAATAATTTGTATAGTTTTCTATTAGCGATTACAATTGTAGAAAGTTACCTTGGCTAATCCCACTGGCTTCATGCGCTATGCACAAGAACCTCTTAGAAATGACGGGAGGCTTATGAAGTAGGTAGGGAATGAAGGACTTTTTTCATACTAAAACGTATTATGGCTGCAGCATAGATGGGTTGGCTCGACCGAAGAACTACGCGCTTACAGAATACTGGCGAAAAATATCAGATATATGCTGCTGTGTTTTGCATGGTGAGTGTAGAGAACCGGAGAACTTTTCAACTGCAAACAAGGTATTTCACCTTGACCCTTATACTGTCGATATGGTTTTAAACCTTACTGTAACGAGTGGTAAAATTAAAAAAGGTTGTACAACCGACTTGAAAATAAATAAAATGTAGTCAAAGTCAATTAAATACGGATTTTTAAGGATAACTCAAAAACTACTTATCAGATCTTGATCAAGTTTATATATTTATACACACACGCAACACATGGACAGCAACAGCTTTGTACGTGGTAGAGCCATGCTGCAACTATATTAGTAGTATAGTTGTAGCATGAATGGGTGGGCTCGACCGGGGAAGGACCATGCTTTCACAGAATACCAGCGTAAAATGGTAGCTTGACACTGCTGTGTTTCGTATAGTGAGTGTAGAAAACCGGAGACCCATTATACTGGAAAAGAGACATTCCATCTAAGTTCTAACGGGTGACGACGCATCTGCATTTTGATTCTTTATTGAAAATAAATGTAGATGTCTATGGGTCACATCAACCACTTACCATCAAGTGGACTGTGTGCTCGTTTGTCACCCTATCCTATAAAAAAGTTTTGAAATAAAAAAAGAATCATCAAAATCTGTTCACCTAAAGAAAAGTTCTAAGATAACACACATTAAAAAAACAGTCGAATTGAGAACCACCTCTTCATTCTAAGATGGTTAAAAATAAACATGACACAACTATAAAATAAAATATTATCTAAATAGCGCGAAAGACACTACAAAAAGGTTCGAACCTTTAGCAGTAATAACACTAAAGGCAATCCGACGGTGGTACGAGTACAAAATGTTTTATCTGCTCTAGGCGTTCAATCCACGTGCGAATGATTAACATCAGCTTAAATTAAAATCTCATTACCGATCGACAGCTGGTAAACGATTCGTAATGTAGTTGGATTGATCGCCATTATTTTTTTAACTGTAGATTTGTACTATGCTCTTTTTGTTTGTACTTTACGGGACAGTTGTTACCTTTAATGAGCACAGAAATTTTTATTAATAGAATAAGAATTAAATAAGTAGAGCTATGCAGCAGCTATATTATGGTTGTAGATAACACCAGCATCACAGAATGTCAGCGTAAAATAGCAGCTTAATGCTTCTGTTTCGTATGGTGAGTGTAGAGAACCGGTGACCCTTTTTACTGGAAACGAGGCATTCCATCTCAGTATTCAGAGGTGACAACATGCATCTGCATTTTGATTCTTAATTGAGGATAAATGTAGATGTCTATGGGTCGCAGCGTATTAGTCGTTGCGCAGCGTTTTTGTCTTTATAGGTGACAACGTATCTGCATTTTGATTCTTAATCGAGAATAAATACATACCTATATATATATATATATATATATATATATATATATATATATATATATATATATATATATATATATATATATATATATATATATATATGTATATATATATATTTAAAAATTTATCAAGTCGGTTATAGCTACTGTACGTAATAAAGCAGTTTGGGGGGGGAGGGTTTAGTTTTTAGTTTAGTCTAGTTTATAAACTTTTCGAAAATTCGATAAACCTGGAGCTAAGTTAGAGAAAATGTATATTTATTAAACACATATCTAAACTCCATGTTAAAATGTATATGTATACCCCACGAAGCTACAAATGCTCAACTTGGAATCTGTAGCTATTTACAAATTAATAAAGGAATGAAGTGGTCGCTTCCAAGCGGTTTCTAAATAGTTCGTAATTATTTATATTGTAAAATTTATTTTAAAAAAAGGCCCGCTGGGTTTCTTGCTGATTCTTACACATGTAATGTATATTGAATAAAAATTATTCTATTCTATTCCATTCTATTCTAAAAAATATTTTATTGGTTGGAAAAAAACAGAAGTTGAAAAAAACTAATGTAATCAAAACTGTCTATGCGTAACTCTTTGCGTTTTTAATAGTAAGATTTTATTATAAGTGTGACGAACTAAGTCGTTCAGGTCGAAAAATTCTTCAACCAGTGCTCAATTTATGCCTAATATCGACTTTGTTTTCCCTTGCGAACTGTTTTACGGCGAAGTGCATGAAAAAACTTTTTTTTAGCAAATACTGAGTTCTTACATGTTCATCTTACGTAACTTGCCGCATGAATAGTTTGATATCAAAACTGTTCTTACATGCATTATAAAACGGATCGTAACGGCGAACGTAACGCTTCTTAACAATAGGAAACGGACGTAAGTCTGCGCGGTTGCTACCACTTTTTAACTTTTTCTTTCGCCAAACAGTGAATGCTGCCATGTTGGGATAAGACAGCCAGTACAGTTTACAAGTTTTGACTATGAATAATTTCATATAATCGACGAATCTGTGACTTCATTTGTCTGAAGTTTGTTGCAGGTGTCTTTGCGGTGTCTATGTATCCGTTTACCATCAGGTGAACTGTTAGCTCGAATTTTAATCTGTAACTTATAAATGTTACTCGTTCTATGGTCTAGTGCTCGTAAATATTGTCTCGGGTTTGAATCGCAGATGGGGCCAAACGGTCATTGGGTCATTGGGTTTTTTTCTGTCAAAAATTTCTAGATAGAAGCCCGGAGTTAGGAAAGTTGGCGGAGTTTCATCCTGGTGCCTCGGAAAGCACGTAAAGCTGTCATCCTGCTATCATAGTTAACGAAGGCTACCTTTAATTTTTCAGTATTAATTTATGGTTTGATACACACAGAGTATCTTGAAGTCTTGCAGTGGCATGATTGATTTGGATTTACCTTTTTTAATTATGCCGTAGATTGAAGCACCAAGCAATTTTCGCTATTGAAATTAGGATGTTTCTACTTTTAATAGCCTCGTGAATTAACCTTGGTAGGAATTTTAACACAATTTTAAATTATAATTAATCAAATTCTTGATACTTGAAAGGAAAACACAGTACAAGAACCGTAATATCTATTAAATACAACATCAGCATCGCTCTACCACATAAATGGCAAAGGTGTTTGTAGGTACTAAGTTTTACAAAACCTTGTCACCATAAACATTTCCGCACTCTCAATTATCCGTTCATGACGTATCTGCAGTCGATTTCTCGTCGGAAATAAAGTCGCTTCTTTATTTTTGTCAGTTTAACGTCGATCGGCTTTTAGCATTCTGGGAAAAAACGGAAAATAAAAGAATGTCGTTTGTTGAAGATTTCTTATAACTAACTACTCATCTACCTACATACAAATAAGTAAAAGTCTATTGTCTATGCGTGCTGATTTAACACATGTGTTGGTGAAGCAATAAAAATCGTGGATTAACCTGCATGAATGAGAAATGAAACATTTTAGCAACATGTGGAGTCCAGCAGTAATAAAGCGTAGCCGTAAAACTTAAGCGATCATAAATAATTAAAAATTTAAAAATTGTGTACAACCGACTTTAATATAAATTATTAAGAAAAACTCAAAAACTATTTGCCAGACCTTGATCAAATTTATATGGGAACACATGAGAAGCACCAGCTTTGAAACAAAAGAAGAATCATCGAAATCGGTTCACCCAGAAAAAAGTTAAGAGGTACTCGTAACACACATAAAAAAAGAATATACAGTCAAATTGAGTGCCGTTTCCTTTTTGAAGTCGGTAGAAAAGAATAAAAGGCCTGTTACATGGCTATAAGGGCACCCACGACTTTTCCGCCATGTCCTGATAGCAGAAAAGGTCTATACGTGAAGAGCCATTCTGCACCTATATTGTTTGTAACACGAATGGGTCGACTTGACCGAGGTTTGCTTAATGCTGCTGTATTTCGTATAATAATTGTAGAGAACTGGTGACCCTTTTAAAGAAACGAGGCATTCTATCTTAGTCCTCCGAGGTGACAACGCATCTGCATTTTCGTTCTTAACCTACGATGGACATAGTTGTCTATAGTCAATAGCGTTTACTTACTCTTAGGTGGACTGTGTGCTCTTTTGTCTTATTATATGAAATAGCAATAATATGCAGCTACTTCAAAGCTAGTGCTTCTTATGTGGTCCCATATAAATTTAATCAAGGTCTGACCAATAGTTTTTGAATTATTCTTAATAATTTATATTGAAACCGGTTGTACAAATTTTTTAATTTTAAATTACACTATTGCTGGTAATGGTCGAGGCGAACCATTTGTGCTGCAGACATGATACGCCGTAGCGTGTTTCTACCACGCAAAACACTAAACAAAACTCGCAATGACAGTCAGACATTTTAATGTAAAATTAAACACTTTAAACAAACTCTTCAAATGTAATTACTCAATATTCCAGAGGCCACGGGGACTGCAAAAGCCCTGTCTCGTCCATTGAGAGCTGCACGGAAGACTCGCGACTTCTGCTTAACTACCAGGCCTGCCCCGACGTGTACGGCTCAGAAAGCACGGGTAAGTATTTTCGAATTATATATGTCCTTAGTACTTTTTAAATGCCTCTTCTTTGTTTTTGACGTTCTTTGAATCTATGAGTATACTTTGAGCTGAGGTAGTTGAGGGGCTAAGCACTCGTCGTAAACATCATAGTCAAAAATATATGGAAATTATTGAGAGGATTGAAAAAATTACGTCAAAAGTCATTGGAATAGCAAATGCCTATTGGAATAGCATCTAAATCAGAACACAGATGGAAGAAGCCAGTAAAGAATCGAAAACAATTTTAAACTAAATAAAAAAAATCGAAATGATTTGGAGAGGATTGAAAAACTTTTAAACAACACCTTAGTCAGAAGACTGATGGAAGAAGCTATTAGAAAATCGTAAACAGTTTCAAACTGAATAAAATATAAATATGTAATGACTTTTATTTAAAGAAAGCCCCAAATCTTTCCATATTATTTCTAAAACTAAATACGTATTAAGTATTTAATTACAACAAATATTTTATGACAAATGCCTTCTGTAAATATTATTTTTAAATTCAAATGAAAGGCCCCGAAACCCTGAAACTTGATGACCGGACATTTCATTTTCTTTTACAGTTTAAATAAAAAACATTTCAGTCCTCGATACTATATTTTACTGAATTTTCGTTTCTATTCTTTACGTTTTCTCATTACCGCAGTTCTTTACATTTTGGGCCTAACAGCTAATTAACGAATGAATGAGTCGACTTGGCGACACTGGTGTTAAAAAACAAAAGCACTTAAAATGCCATGGAAAACAAAGGCATACGATCCGATCTCCGGGAATTGGCTACAAATGAATCGGGCAGAGTTCCAACAACGGGAGGTGTCAACTATTGTTTAGATTTAGCGAACGCCTTAAAATAGATGCATTAAGAGGACGCTTTGCGGTCTCGAAAACTTTCGAAATGAACAAAATAAGCATTTGTTTTAGTCTTCACGTAATTAAAAAAAAACTTAAAACGGTGTCTGTTTTATACATTAGTATTTCCTCTTAAGATAATGTGCTTTTCTTCACGTATTAGTGCGGCATAAAAGTAACGAGTTGAATGTAAATTCCAGAAAAACAACTTCCTTCTGCGTGAATCCCGTATCTCTGGTGCCCTTTGTCCTACAGGACCCAAACTCGACCGAGCTACTACCTCAAGGTATCCACATACCAAATTTAAAGTCAATCGGTCCAGTGGAACGGAAGTTATCGTGTCGGCATACAGACTAACAGACTGCCAGCTAAAACCATTAACTTCCTTTCAATGCTACACAGAAGGAAGTTAATAAATGAGATTTAATAAGAGCGATAGCGTGATGTTGACAAGACTACAGTAAAGTCCAACCGCTCCGCTTCGCATTCAAGGTACACAATATCGAACAATCAAACAAACTAAATCATCAAATAAACAAACTAACAAACGATCAGTCAATCCACCAAATGGTTAGTGGATGCAGTGACGCATAAAATCCGACATCCATCCTCGGTCAGGAATTAAAACGAAAATGAAACGTGACTGCATATTGCTGCTATTTCACACTGGTATTATGTGCGAGCACGGTCTTTCCCCGGTCCAGCCGATCCATTCCTGCTACAGATACGATACTCTACAACGTGGTTCTACCGAGTTTGAAACATCAAAATGTTGCGTTGTATGCTGACTGATATTAAAACACAAACGCGGAGATGCTGTAGAAATACTAGTAACTATGTATATCTTGTAAATATTTTTTAAAGAATAAGGATGACGAACGAGCATACCGTCCACTTGATGGTAAATGGGTGCTGTGGCCCACATACATCTACGTCTATCTTCGATTAGGAATCAAAATTCAAATGCGTTGTCATCCCTGAGGACTAAGATGGAAAGCCTCGTTTCCAGTGAACAGAGTCTCCAGTTCTTTGCGCTCACCACATGAAACTCAGCAGCATTAATCTGCTATTTTACGTAGCTGCGGCGTGGCTCTACCATGCATAAAAGTATATAGGTTCCTTAGTAGAGGAACGAGGGAAGGGACTAAACGAACGAAGGATTTCGTTTCTGATGACAATACTCCCATCTCAAAGACTCCCATCTTTGTCAGAGATCATATTTCATGTAAATTTTCTGTGTAAGCGTATGGGATTTACTATCAATTTATGATGCATAATCGCTTGATGGCGCAGTGGCTTAGTGTTGAGTTGCGGCCCTGAGAGCCGCAGATTCGTATCCCACACGAAACAAGTATTGGTCTATATATAATTGTTGCGGATCTAGTTTTTTTTTTCTTACGCAATTTAATGTATATAAACTATTTCCACGATATTTGAGAAAATCCTAGTGTGGCAATGTCTTTAAATATTTTTCTTTTGTAAAGATAGGAATATCATTGTGCAAGTTATATCTAATACTGCACTGCGTTTTTATGATATCGGTGTCAGTCAGTAAAAGCATAAATGACTTTCAATAAGTATTAATGACTAAAATGACTTGTAACCTGTATTGAATAAAAATGGTTCTATTCTATTAATTTTGACGTGTGAGTTATTTTGTCAGAAGCGATTGTGAAGAAACTTTACGAACAGATAAAGAGCCATGGCTGGAGGGATCTAGGATAAATGGTCTTTGATTATCAATAATAGATTCTATCCAGACGAAGCCGAGGTTGCTAGTAATAAATAAAATTAGGAGAAAAAACATTATTCAACAGATAAGAAATATAAATAATGTTTGCAACATCATCAACTAACATCCATAGTGATAGTGAACTAAGTAAACTAAATACAGCACCAAAAGCTAGCTGTCCTTGTTTTCTTTCAAAGATGAAAATAAAAATCCTCGCAAAAGAAGTCTCCAGCTTTCATTATCGAGACAATAGTCGCCTCGTTGTGGCGTTCAAACGCTCCCCCTTTACGTCGCTGGCGGCAACTCTACATAAAACTTTTATTTGCACGGCAGTCTGTCTCGGCTCCCGGCTACAGTCGCAAACTACCCGCTCTATTCTTAGAAACGTACCTTACGAGTAACTAGCGCGAAACGCTCGGCACTGCACTAAGCACCTTCAAGTTTATTATTAAAGAAACAATAACTTATCCGAGACAAGCGTATACTAAATTAGCGGACTGTGTGCCGTTTAAACTAATTAGTCGTAACTGTCAAACGCTGGGAATGATTAATTTAAATATATAAAATTATTAATATATTCTTCATGTTCCTTGGCTCAAAGTAAATAGAAATAAATCAATAGGTACTGAACTTTATTTTAATTTAATGAAGATAGATAATCGTGTTTTATTAAAGGCTAATAATTTTTCGCTTACCAGATGTCGCTAGTTGGGACTGTAGTGAAGTTATTTGTTACACAGTGTCATTATGATAGAGAAGTTGCTTCTTAAGTTAAAAAATAGAAAATACTATTAACAAATATCGAGCACATAGATCACTTGATTATAATGGATGCTTTGATCTATTTCTATCTACTCACATCGATCCTTAATTAAGAATCATTATGAAAAAGTAACCCTAAAACTAAATTAGGAGTAAAAATGATCGCCGGTTCTTGTCACGTGCCATACGAATACGAAACACAACAGCATTATAATGGAATTTCACGACATTCCCCGGTTGAGACATCCGACATTACAGCCCATTCGTACGCTACCAACTATCAACGTACAGGTTGCGATGCCAACACTAGTAGCGCCACCTGTATTTTCTCGCGATAACGCGCAGAAAATTACTTGATGTTGAATAGATTAAAAGTTATGAAAGAAAACATTATTCAGGCTATAGTTTCTCACCTTCGATGACTGACCTATTCGTGCTGCAGACGGCATGACTCAACCTCGTATGAAAAAAATATATTTTATAAAAAGCATTTTATAAAAATAAAAGGATATCTAATTCATTTGCATTTCAGTTTTCTTCTCGGAAAAATACAAATTAAATTTTATTAGTAGGTAGTAGAGCCGGTGCCGTAGGGTAAGTGTAGGTGCCGGCGTAAGATATCCACTACCCCAGTCCCATGAGTGTCGGAGGCGACAGAGGGAGTAGATGCAGGTGATGGGCAGCAGCATCATAAAAAACTGCGGTTGCTTTCCCACTTGCGGAATATGGAGTATATTTGCCAAAGTTACCACGTGAGGTACTCTATTGAGGAAGCCATGCAGTAGAATTTTGATAGACTGTGATGAGTAAATGAATGAATATAATGCTTATTACATTGTTTTAAAACAAAAAGAAATAATGTGTCGTTATCGTCATCGCCATCACCATCGCCATCTACATAGTCATGGCCATCGCCATCGTCATCGTATATAACCTCACACTGGGAATTTGATCTATATATATTGGAGGTGCTTTAGATACATAAAATGCACATAGACAAACATGTAGACCCGGAACAATTATTTGTAAGTCATACAATAACTTGTTTGATATAAGGGTTTGAACCCGCGACCCAGCCATACTCGTATGTTTAGCTATTGCGCTACCAAGATTTTATTTATTTAATATAGTTTTTTTCTATAACTTTTCTTTGCTACAGTACATCGCCATATACTTTAATACAAAACAATACTTTAAGAATATCCCGACAGGTTTCTAATGTCTACTTACCGTCCTATAAAATATACGCAAAAATTATTAAAGGTATTCCTAATATTTTCTTCTTCAGTTGAAGAACTCGAATGCCTCGCCACATGGAAGGAGGGAAGCCTACGTTTCCTGGTGGGGAAGCTGCATCACAACCACGCCACCAGCAACGAGGATCGGTACCGCTGCTTCGTGTATGAAAAGACGAATGGTATTGGTAAGTGACAATAATGTAAGTGAGAAGGAAGAATAATAAGACTTCGTTGACAAGAACATGACCGTGTAGTGGCGGTGAAAGAATATCCACTACCCCATATCGTCCCGTGGGTGACATAAGAGTCGACAGAGGGAAACTGAAGCAGGAGATGGGCAGCAGCGTCTTCCTGATCACAACTCAAAATAATAAAGAACTGCGGTTGACAACCCGCATGCCAAGCGTGGCAACTATGGCAAAATCCCCCCTGTGAGGCAATTTATAAGGGCGGCCTATGTTCAGCTGTGGGCTTTTATAGGTTGTATTGGATGGATGGACAAGAATGTGATCACTTTGTAGTACGTTGCGGCGTATGCAATATAGCTTTTCTTTATAAGAGCTCCCTACCACGGCTAATAAAACATATGACGCAATGTACTACAAAGTGACTGTTATTTTGATGTCAAAGTTAGCAACAAGGGCTGCTGGTGGTTATGGAGAGTTGGAACAGAGTGAAAATGTGCACCAGTATAAATGTATCACTCTGGTGGGAATTTTTTGCGTTACGTTTTCTGGGTAACGTTTGTTCATTATGATAACAATGTGTAACCTAAATAAGACGTTAATATTTTAAAAGTGTAAGATTTTTCCGTCACGACCCCTTCTGACGTAGTGTAGATGGCCTTGGCGACTATAAGGAAGCGAGATGGAATAATATCCATTCCCTCGCAATTTTTCTTATCTTGCCATGAAAGAAATATTATTTTAAATTTCATTTTAATAGACCCTAGTAATTCATTTATTTGTATTTGTTAATCAATAATATAATACGTAAACGTATTATATATCAATAATAATATACTACGAAAGGAACTTCGTTCCAACCGAGTGTTCCACGACATACACACGCATGGTTTTTATGAAAACTGAAGTAACAAACTTACAGTTCATCTGATGTTATGTAGCTACTGCAGTCTTTGGATTCTTACAGCCATCTTTCAAAAAAGAAAGCTACAGATACGCGGTCACCTCTGAGGACTAAGATGGAAAATGTCTCACATTGTAATTATACTGGCTCGTTATAACCATCGGACCGGAACCCAGCACACAAAAGCACTGCTGTTTGACGGCAGAAATAGGTAAGAGAAGAAAAGGAGGCCTACCACCTTGTAAATATATAAAAATATATTTACACAATACAACGAAACTAACCGTCAGACGTTATACAATCGCAGTACGAGATGTATTGCAGTAGTTCATGTAGTTTAAATTCAACTATCTCATCCCACCCTATTTACCTCATATATTGAACACGCTATATATTTTATTTTTTATAGTATAAGACTGACAAACGAGCACACAATCCACCTGATGGTAAGTGGTTGCTGCGGCCCATAGACATCTACATCTATCCTCTATTACAAATCAAAATGTAGATGCGTTGTCACCCGTGAGGACTAAGATGGAATGCCTCATTTCCAGTAAAAAGGGCCTCCAGCCACCTGCACTCACCATACAAAACACAGCAGCATTAAGCTGTTATTTTACGCTGGTATTCTGTGAGAACGTGATCCTTCCCCGGACGAGTCGACCCATACGTGCTGCAACCACAATATAGCTGCAGCATGACTCTACCACGTAAGAAATATATAGTTAAAATCACTGAGTGCCTCCATTTTATCTGAAGACTCAGTGACATGACATGCGTTACGTAATCAAAACTTGCATTCTGAACTGTAGGAATGAATATCATCATAATTATTTATCGTTCACATAATGATCCGTTTCAGGATCCAGCATTGCTATGAAAGACAGTGTTAGCGCTGCTGTCGGCGTGGAGTACAGAGTGGCGCAGTCTGGAGACGCAACATGCAACGGACTCTTCAGCGCGACGGAGGGCTCGAGAACAATGGCTCTCAAAAGAGGTACAATAACATATTCTGTTTTTCTTTCTTCTTGTAACGTTATACTTCTTATGGAATCACCTCGGCACGTGTCTGTCTCACAGCGATTTTACTCTGAGTATTATAAAATGCAATGCTGTTTTCCAAATACATACTTATGTCAGGTTGTAGAGCCACGCGGCAGCTTTTGCTGTTGCACGTATGGGCTGGCTCGAGCCGGGTTAGTACCACAAGCTCACAGAATACCAAAATGGGAATACCAAGGGGGGAGGGCAAAATTTCGCTCAAAACAATAACTGCTCGGGGCAAACTGACGTACCATCTCGAGACGGCAAAGCCGGTCTTGCTCTTTCTGACCGAGATACGACTTAGGGACCTTCAAGAAAAGAGCTTACTCCTTTTTAAAAGGTCGGCAACGCACCTGCAATTCCTTTGGTGTTGCAGTTGTTCATGGGCGGCGGTAGTAACTTAACATCAGGTGAGCCGTGTGCTCGTAAAAGGTTAATGTTCAAATTACTGCCTACTATCTTGCACGTCCAAGCAATACTTGTGCAAATTGTTTATTTTTAGATCGGGTTAAGTTGTCATCCTTGTTAACGTCATCCTTACTTACTAGTACCTGTAGCGTTGTAATATCTCTTAATCAGTTAATAGCTTTTAAATATACCCGGCGTTTGTTACAATCGAAATCGCACAGAAAGACATCATTATAATTTACTATATTTACTCTCTAACACGAGGAGTGACACTACAAGTAGAAATGAAAAAAAAAATATTGCAACCTAAAATATTCCATTAGTGCCAGAAGGGATCGATAAGTGAATTTAAGTCGAACGCTCAGCTCCTGAGCGACCACGGTTAAGGTAAAGAATCTTATAAGAACGCATTTCAAGAAAAGTTCAAAATCCCATATGTGTAAACGTTTCTTTTAATAATTATAAGCCAGTGCTTGACTACTATACCACCTGATTGTAAGTTGAGATGCAGTCGAAAATGATATGAATGATGAAGAGCACTTACTTAGCTTAACAAAATCCTATTTAATCTTGCCTTGACGGCACCTACATTGTAATTAGATGAAAAGACAGATTCTGGCAAACTTATTCCACCTCTTTATTGTACGTATTATGATCGTAGAAGTAAACCCTTTGGTTTGAATGCGTGGTATATCGACAAAAGAATGAAGACCAGCCAAACGTATGGTGGTTCGATGATAGAATCAAGTTGAAGGAATTAAATCATACAATTCGTGCGCAGACTTCGAAATATATCCTGTAAAACCAAAACTTCTATATGTTACTACTGGACGAACTCTGCAGCCTTAATATACATTGCGCACTACACACACAAGTTACGGTCAATTATTCGTAACTACTTTAGTCGACTGCGAGCGAGCAAGAAGACTAGTCATTTGTTTTGTAAACCGCGGGCGTTGTTTTTGACAATCTAACATGGATTTTGTTTAATGTGACTATGTAAACGCTGTCATTATTTATGTGTGCACTTTGTCAAAGTGATTTGTAGTTTATGTAGGATAAGTAGGTAATTTTATATCGTATTTGCCTAAAAACAGTAACTGTCAAAAATGAAAATACAACTGCGTGGCATACTTACCGTGCCAGCCACGCCTGCACACCGGTGACACAGTTTTTGTTCTGAATTGCCGGTCAAATAGTACACATAGAAGTTTTTTGTATAAAACATCTTAAGACTGGCTTCTTTACGTTTGCACTCGAGACTGGTAAGTTTTGTTCTAACCCATCGCTAGTAAAAAAACTAGATACACAATCAGTGACCATAAATGTCCTTACTGAATGAGCGCCCACTCGAACACTTGGGTGCGATTTTAATTTGTACGTAGCTTTGTAAATACAACTTTAGTCAATGCGTTTATGGTTGAATTTACATTAATCTATATAAATAAAATGACTGGATAGATTTCAATTAGGTTTTCTAAGTTTTATTTCTTATACACTTGGCCCTTATCTAAAAAAATATATTGTAAAATCTTTATTTAATATAAAGTTATTAAAGTTTCAAGAAACAACTAATTTTATACAGGGTTTTTCACACGGTCTGTAACTGCACGTCGCTTGCTCTCGCGTTACTAACCCAGATAATTATATATTTTAGCTACAAACGGAGCAACGAATAACATTGCTTAAAAAGAAATTTGTAAGCAAAGTAGATGTTTGCTTGCGATCTTCTCGATGATTTTTCTTCGCACATACGAAAACTTTGTTAATATGAAGCAACCCAGACGAAGGCGCGGGTAACAGGTAGTGGAGAATAAATATTTATTTCATCTATAATTAAGTGAAACCAATTGGCGACAGTTTTTAAAGGACTTTTGCATGGGATTGTGTATCTACTTTTTATTAGTGATCGATATTCTAACCATATTCGTATCACCAATAAGTGTCTATTAAGCTTCATTCTTTTGTCTATGTTTTTCTTTTTAATGATAACTTTTTTTATCTAACGTTATTCATAAATCCCTCTCTCCCAGTATCAGTTCGCTTCAACTGCCAGTTCCCCGCGTGGATGACTTTCTCGCACACGTGGCACACGCTGGACTTCAGCAGCAACTACACGTTCTACCAGCGGAACGCCACTCTGCGAATCACCAACCAGACCGGTGCTGACATCAAGGTCTACTGTGTCAACGTGAAGGCAAGCTCGCCGAGTGGCAACTCTGTTGCATTGGTCGCGCACTGGCAACATCATTGGTAATTTACGATATTCTACATACATACATACATACATATAATCACGCCTCTTTCCCGTAGGGGTAGGCAGAGACCAGTTCTTTCCACTTGCTACGATCCTTACATACTTGTTTTGCTTCGTCCACTTTCATTATTCCCTTCATACATGCTCTACGGCTTAGGGTACTCTTGACCTGGCCTTTTTATCCTACTAATATAATATTATAACTTTATGGATGTTAGTTTGTTTGTATGTTTGTTACTCAATCACGTAAATACTACTGAAAAGTTTTTTAAGAAATTTGGCAACACTATAATATATTACAAAAATGTTTGAGGATGTTATATTAGTTACTTATGTAGGTTAGGATAAGATGGAACTGGCATGCGCTAAGCGGTAAAAGTCCCTTAAATGTTTGTAGAATTAAAAAAAGTGATAAGGCTGACATATTCTTGTAGGATAAAAGCATTTTTAAATAAATAAAGATAATTAAAAATATTGTTATTGTGGTAACGGTTGTGTTGTGGCAGCGTGTCGCGGTACGTGTGCGTGGTGCTGTACCGGCGCGACTCGCACCTGGCCGAGCTGCAGCGCGGCGCGCCGGCCGCGCGGCCCGACGACGCCTGCTCGCCGCACCACTTCAACGCGGTCACCGCGCCCTACGTCACGCTAGTCGGTACGACCACCCCGCGTCCACACCACACTTTCGAACCAACAATTCTATATATACTACCAGCTCCATTCCATTCCATCCATTCTCCGTAACTCTTTTAATCGACTGCGAGCGGGCGAAAAGACTAATGCTTTATTTTGTAAACCGCGAACGATAGTCAGTATGACCGCCTCACATCTACTCCACACTTTTGAACAAAATCTTCTATGTATACTACTAGACGGGTTCTGCGGCCTTAATACATTGCGCACTAAGTCAAGCTATTCTCCGTAACTCCTTTAGTCGACTACGAGCGAGTGAAACGACTAATGCTTTATTTTTTAAACCTTCTTTGTATACTACTAAACAGGCTCTGTGGCCTTAATAAACGCACTAAGTTACGGTCAGTTTTCCTTAACTCCTTTCGTCTACTGCGAGCGATTGATAATACTAATTATTTGTTTTGTAAAACGCGGACGTTGTTTTCGATAATCTACAGGGGCGTAGCTACCGTCGTATCAGCCGTATCAATGATACGGGGCCCCCGGTTTACAGGGGCCCCGAACGTGTGTAAGCAAAAATTCCAAGGACTTCCATGGGACAGGAAAGGCTATGACTATTGGATATAGAAGCAAAGAATTTAGTAAAACTGAAATCGTCTTCAGCTATGAATGCCGCCGAATCGTCTTCAGCTATGTTCGCTAAACAAAAGGCACGAAAAGTGTATTATTGATTTGAATCGTTTGTCTAGCTTAGTTCCTAAGAGTATTAATTGTAAGTAATAATTTATAATCAATATATTATTATTTTAATTTTAATTCAATGCAAGTGTTTTTGTGCCTTTTATGAAATCTTTACTCTTCATTGGGGCCCCCCATCAAATTTTGATACAGGGCCGATCTAAGTCACGCTACGCCACTGATAATCTAACACTGATTTTATTTAATGTCACTAAGAAATAGCTATCATTATTTATGTACGCACTTTATCAACGTGATTTGAAGTTAATTTCAAATAAGTATGTAATTTTATTTCGTATTTAGCTGAAAACAGTAACTGTCGTTAATGGAAAATACAACGGCGTGGCATATTACCGTACCATGCCTAGGGGGTAGCTGCTCGCGACCGCGCCCGCGCGATCCACAGCTATGACATAGTTTTTGTTCTGAATTGCCGGTAGTACTGTAGACATAGAAGTCTTTGGTTTTTTTTAACGTCGAACTATACCACGCTAGTCGGGAAGAACGCCTCACACTCACTTTCAAATCTATCGGTTTTTATATATAAATCTGAATTGATAAACGAACTTACAAACCACCAGATGGGGTCACCGCGCCTTATGTCACGCTAGGCGGTAAGAACACCTCGCATCTATTGGGGATCGCTGATTTAACGCCTAGAGTAACCGCTTCGTTGGCCCTTGTACATGAGTCTCCCCCGTTGTAGGTCAGATTTACGAAAATTGTCACATTTGGAAGACAAACTAACGATCACAGTAACAGATGTTTCACACCTTCCATGCTGCTTCCCGTCGCCAGTCTGTGCCTGTTGTAAATTTGAAGAATATACTACATGACATAAGATGTCCGTCGCACATCCCATTAGTCGCCTTTCATGACATCTGCGGTACGAAATGTGGTGATGGATTATTTTACACCAACGACACGACAAATATAATATATATTCAATCATTTGTTTAAGAAAACTTTACCTATAATATTTCGAATATGTTACTAATAATTTAATAATGCTAGAAGATGATACTTTAATGATTAGTAACTACTATGGTAGTGTCTATAGAAAAGATCTATCAAGCCTTGATACATCTTACCGAACGAAAAATTATTTTATAAATGTATTCAAACAATTTATTCAATATGGAAGCTTCATTTATTTATTTTAAATTACTAAAACTTAAATAAAGTAAGTACCTTTCACAAAATAAGCATATTAGAGGTTTTTACAAATGGGTAATCCATTATATATGAAAAAAGATAACAAATTGTAGGATACGGTCAATACATTTATTAAATTGATAGCCCTAAACCCCTGTAAACGATTATCATTTTAATTCTTCTAGAATCTATGTTTTATTTCTTCTAGAATTAAAGATTTCATTATCTAATTCCAGCTAGTAACCCAGAATCGAAAGTGTGCCCTTATTCTGGCAAGTACATCATTCAGAATCATCACTATCAAAGAACAGCAAGATCACTAACAAGGAAAGAAAACAATACTGATAGGAGTAAAAGAGAAAAAACAATTGTGGGACATAATCGTAGAGTTAACCACACTAGACTATTTAATTTTAGCATTAAGAACATGTCGGCAACTCCGATTATGAGAAGCCGGAGACAATCTGACGACAACGATGTTAGCTGTGCAAATAGTAACTACTATAGACTAGAAGTTGGGTGCAATTCTGCCAAGAATATGGAGTTTTATTCAACGTGTGAAAATAAGGAGGTTGTTACAGGTGAGTTGAAGTACAAATAAAGATACAAAAATTGTATACAATGTTAGAAAGGAATAAAAATTATATATTAAAATGCCGTGTAATTGCAGCGTAAAAATCTACTTTCTCATATCATCCCGTGGCTGTCATAAAACGTGGGAAATAAAACAGGAGATGGACAGCAGCGTCCTCCTAAAAACAACTCGAAATAATAAAAAGCTGCCGTTAACTACCCACCTGCCATATGTGGCAATTATGCCAAAAATAATCATAGACTGTAATGAATGAATATAAATATATTTGAAAAAATCGCTTTTAAGCTTTATTTTGAAATATATTATTTCAGACGGATTGCCTGTATGTATTTTTAGGCTTTTCATTTTTAACAAGGAGTTCGTCCGGGTTCGTCCGCGACACTTTCACCTATTTTTGTCGCAAAAATTCAACAGCAAAATGTGCACTGTAGTTCCAGATATAGCAAGACAGTATATAACAACAGCCAGCCAGTAACAACACTGGATGCAAGCTGTAAGGAATTCCATCTAAGTTTTTGGAGGTAACAACGCATTGTAGCCTTTTTTTGTTTGAAATTAGGCTGTAAATTCGTCTGTTACTTCAATTTTATCAAAATCCAACGCAGCAACAAATAAAAAAAATGTATGATAATGTATAATAGGAAACATTGTATATTGTGTTGTATCTTATTATCTCGCAGCCTAAATCCTAGAGAGGTACATATATGTTTGTCTCTTTTAAGTGTCGATTTTTCGTTTTATAGAGTATCAAATCATAATTATTCTAAAGAAGTTTTCACTTCATAAATCCAGCCAATGTTGTTTTGGCTGAAGGGCTTGTAGTCAATGCAACGACAAACGAAAAAGAAAACCAAATGAGTGAGTGTTGTTGGCAGCGTACACGTGCCACGGCGGGTGGTACGAGAACGGCGCGTCGTTCGTGGTGGCGACGCCTGTGACACGCGACAGCGGCGCAGCGCGGCGCTACTGCTTCGTGTCGCGCGAGGCGCGCGGGCCGCGCGGGGGTAGCGCAGGGGGTGCGGGCGGAGAGGCGGCCGCGCTGGCGCTCGCGCGCTCCGCCGCCAACTGCGAGCGGGCGGATGCCGCGCCGCTGCTCTTCGATGCCGCGCCACTCGGTCAGCAAAGTATATTATATTAATACGTAAAGGGAAAAATTTGTATATATTAATATGTAAAGGGAAAAATTTGCTTGTGTAACCAAAAACTTTTATTCCATGTGTTTTCTTTCAATTTAAGCAAAGATATATATTTTTAATTGAAATTAATTTATTTTTCCTTCCTTCTCATTAATGCAGGGTTATTTTGCAATAATCGGTCAAATTTGTAGAAAAGATTCGGAATAAGTAATATAGGCAAATGAGTAATATAGGTGAAGAAAAATTATTTATTTTAAAAAAATCTCAAACATTCTGCCATTTTTATCTTTTAAATTCAAACTGCGTGTAATGCATTATTTTAACTGATTGTCATTCATTAATAGCTGACGCGTATTATTAACGCATGCACACATTCATAAGGTACTTTGTCCTGAGACTTGCAGCGCCCATCCCTTCTATTTACTGTTACACCGTTAAGCACGGATCAAATACAAAAAAGAGATGTCATAAGCAACTGTGCACTGTGATTCTAACTAGGTCCTATCGTCATTACAGTGGGCGTAGCTTTACTTAGTATACTGTCAGCGTTCGTTCTATGCGCTTATGTGTCGAAAATCGCAAATCGGTATATTTTCGTAGTTTTAAGAAAAAAAAGATGAAGTGTTGTGTTTTATCGTGTAAAAACTAGCTACTTAACTAACTACTTAAGCGCTCTGATGCTATGGATTGCATCACATTTCTTTTGTAAGTAATTTTATACCTAATTTTTAAAAAGGCTCTAGAAAAATCTCTGCGTCGGCTTTCTAATGTAATTAAATATATTCGATACTAGATGGCGGCACTTTGTATCATGGAAACTAAAAATATAAAGGTACGTAGAGCTCAGTATTGGTAAAATAATCATACGAAGGTGTTGAAATTTGTTTTGCATTCAGTTCTAAAGAATTTTTAATCGCCAATATATCATTTTGTGAACAGGCCGCCATCTATCATCATGGTAGCTAAACTACATTGCAACATTGATATGGAACGATGCGAGTAGTTTTACTATTCATCGGTAGATGGAAAATAGTAAAGTGGGCGGGGCTTAACATCTCCAGTAAATTGTCACAAGTAGTTACATAGTGAAATCTAATTACAACACCTCCTCTTTGTATTTACTCCGTGCCGTTAAGTACCTAAGTCCGCTTGCCCGGCTGACAGCTGACAGTGTTTACTGTGACCTCATTACGTACGCTTTGTTACCAATGACGTAACGATAATATTCGTACCGCGGAGACTAAGTAATGGTGCGATATTACATTATATACAATGAAAGTTTACATGGTGCGCAAAGAATGTAAAGTGAGTCTTTACCAATCGGTGTGTTACTCACATCCCCACAAGAGGCACGGATTCCATAGGTACCAATATTAGATATTAAGACTTCTTGTGTAATTTAATTGTAAATAGTTTATTCTATTTTTATACGGTATAATAAGGACAGCCGTTGGTTACGTTGTTGATAAGCAAAAATATATATTTTTAATTGTATTTATTATGACGATCTTGAGCCCGTTAAAAGTGTAAAAGGAAAATTGGAACCATTATTCACATCATGTAGTTATTATCTTATGCATTATTAGTAAGCGTGTCATTAAGAAAGTAAACAGTAGCCAACAACAACTTGAGAAACAAAAACGTGAATTGAATCACACACACAGGAGCGCGCGTAAGAGTAGTTGTTGTCTATAAATAAAATTAATTTGGGATAATTTCAAATAAAAGTGGAAGCCATATTTACGAGTATTATCAAAAAATATAATATCGGTATAAAATAATGTTTTATTTGAACTTCAATATCAAATTTGGCTACTCTTTGAAAATAACCCTGTAACTCACTCGCTTCCAAATTTTCCTTGAACATGACCCTTCCGTTTCCTCGTCCGTCACTAGTGTTGCACTAATCCACTAAACATCGATATGCGCACCCTTAATGCGCAAACGCAACACTCATTTGGGAAACTATATACTTCTCTCAGAAGAAGTGAATTTACTTACAGTTAAGCAACTCCTTCTATTCATTGAAGACGTAGGACTTAACAGTGAACTGTAGACATAACAGCGATCACAATAAATCTTTTATGTCGCAGTGATACTGATCTGTCTAGATCTGCATGGCTACTCGTACATAATAAAAAAAAAATAAGCATCGATAATATACAACATTATGTATGCTACTAGACGAGCCCTGCGGCCGCACGCATTAAGTTACGGTCAATTCTCCGCTTACAGTCATTAAAGTAGTTCTAAACTTTAAGATTTCCCTATATAACATTGTAGTCTTTGTTTAAGATTGTGAGCGGGCGAGAAGACTAGTTCTTTTTTTAAGCCGAAATGAATGAGATGAAATATTTGACAGAATTTATAGTTTTTAAATAAAACTAATTTTACGGATTTTATCGCGTATATTAACTTATTTTTAACTTATTTTTATATTCCCGACGTTTCGGGTGCTTTCCAGCACCCGTGGTCACGGGGGACTGAGTTGTTTGACGTCCTGCTGTCATAGTTAGCCCGGCTACCTTCAGTTTTTTAATATTAATTTTTGGTTCGATTTACGCAGAATGAGCTTACAGTATCTTGAAGTCTAGCAGTGGTATACTTGGGTTTGGATTTGATTTTATTAATTATGGGATCCCAACCAGATGGCAGCACCCATCCATCTTCTCTATTGAAATTAGGATGTTTTTTAATTTCAATAGCCTCGCGAATCATCCTTGGGAGGAATCGGTGTTCTTTTGCGAGGATTTGTGGTCTATCAAATCTAATGTAATGACGGGGACGATCCTGAACATGTTCACAAACTGCAGACTTCCCGATACGTCGGTGCTTCACGCCAGCTATATGTTCTTTAACGCGGGTTAAAGAACACCGATTCCTCCCAAGGATGATTCGCGAGGCTATTGAAATTAAAAAACATCCTAATTTCAATAGAGAAGATGGATGGGTGCTGCCATCTGCTTGGGATCCCATAATTAATAAAATCAAATCCAAACCCAAGTATACCACTGCTAGACTTCAAGATACTGTAAGCTCATTCTGCGTAAATCGAACCAAAAATTAATATTAAAAAACTGAAGGTAGCCGGGCTAACTATGACAGCAGGACGTCAAACAACTCAGTCCCCCGTGACCACGGGTGCTGGAAAGCACCCAAAACGTCGGGAATATAAAAATAAGTTAAAAATAAGTTAATATACGCGATAAAATCCTTAAAATTAGTTTTATTTAAAAATGTGTAGTGTTCGCGTAAATATAAGAAATCATTAGAATTTATAGTGTTGGTAGTTAATTTGTTAGAAAAGTGTAGAGGTTAATGTTAAAGTGCAAATTATTTTAACTAGACTCTGTAGGTACAGTACTCGAAACGTCGTAGATATAAATGCCCACCCTACTCTGATCTGAACCCTATGGATTACATTTTAACGTCGATTTTAGAGGGCTGAGCTACGCGCCATAGATGTTTTGATAAGCTAACTACTGACACTACTAGTACTGGGAGTGAGAAACATAATATCTGTAAAGAAAATGCTAGAAATTGTAAAAAAACTCTAAGTCTTTGTCCTCTATGTAACCGCGATAAAGAAGGGTATTATAAAAATTATTTTATCTTCGGTTCATTCGTTACAATAGGTAAAGGTTCAAAAACCATACAGCCATTACGTAGCACAAAATTCTGAGAAATTAATTAAGTTTTTTTTTCTATTTCAGGGGAATGTCAAGATCAACCTAACAAGCAAACACTGCTACGAATACCCTCACCGTATTCGACCTTCGTGGCAGCTGTGATAGTTTATTTTGTAATACCTAGGTGATTCATGCAAGAATAAAATTATAAATCAATCTGGACGCCTAACCGTTATAATAATTATATTTAAGCATATAATCGGCTTAGGCATGAATATGTAATTGTATTTTTACAAACGTTACATAAATAACGATGACGATCACTTAAGGCCATCGCATGATGAATTAAAAATGTATAAAACACATTAATAAGTTGTTGTTGTTAACGGATCTATGACTTTGAAAGACATTTATGACTTACTTCAATTGCCTCACTTCGCTTATCGATTTAAAAATAATACAGCATGTAACCGATTTAAAAAATAATACTGAAGTCTTTTTAATTTTGTTTATAACAAAATAAATCTGTTCTATACAGAATAAATTACAATTTAACGAAGTACCTAGACTATGCGGCTAAGCAACTTGGTACAGAGAGAGAGAGTGAGAGAGAGAGAGAGAGTACCTACCTATTAGTTCAAAAGACTCTTTTAGGTACTAAGAATATTCTGTAGCTGTTGGAAAGCATTTTAGAATTCCTTCTTTTAGCGGTTGCTCTAAAGACTCGTAAGGTCATATTATGAAACGTTTGTATGTGTAAATTGTTTATTATATACCTACATACTTGACCCAGTTTATTTGTTTTGTAAAAAGTTTAATGCCTTATTTTTAAATTTGTGTGTATATCTTGTTATAACAACTTAGCATAAAGATATAGATATACCGCATAGCTTTGAAAAATAATTAAAAATAGGTATGCACTATATAGCTACGTTATTGCTAGAATTAAAAATATATATTTTTATCAGCAATAGTGTAATAAACAATGACTCGTATATGGGGGCAATTACTGTCCAGAAACATCTTTGAAAATGCACATAATTTGTACGGTAATATATCATAATTAACGCCTTCTAATTGTAATTATTCATAAAGCATGTTAGGAAAACAAATCACTTTTTAAATAGAAAAATATTTGAAGATATTTTGCACTTCATTCAGTGACAGGTTACAGGTTAACAAATCATACAAGCGTGTGAGTGCAGTGCCTGATTTAGAGTTGCGACAGCCCTAGGTTAACTATGAATATGCGCCCCTCACCGGCCTGTTCTGTCTGTGCCTGGCCAGCCCACGAATATATTTACGAGATTTTTATATTTTACTAGCTATCCACCCCACGGTTTATCCCACATTAAATCAAATTTACCTGATAATAAGCGGCGACCATCGCCCATGAAAAAACGAAGCACCAGGGAAATTGCAGGTCTCTAAGTCGTATTGGTCCGGAAAAATCGCCGGTGATACATTATTCCACAAATAGTTCTTGCGAAGAAGAAAACTAATAAATCGCACAGTCATTGTGTACAGCTAAACATCCGAATTTTGTGGGTGGTGAGTTTTGTTCCGAATGCTGGAATTAATTCGAACAATTTGTCTAAGTACTCCCCGTGGAAAATGCGATAGAAAATGCAACGGGATGCAATATCTCTTCGCAGCGCCGGTGAATCGAGCCGATTAGAAAGAATTCGGTCGACGACGATTCGAGTCCCTCTTCACTGGATGCGGTCAAGTGGAAGGAGGTGGTACGGGGATGCCCCAAATTTTATTGTATACATAAGTGTGTGCCCTGTGTGGGTATTATAAGATATCGATACGGGCCCAGGGCCTATAAAGATAATATGTTATTTGCGCACCCTAACTGGAGACATTAAGACGAGCTCATTAGGTCTTTCTGTGTTGGTTGTACTTATATCCCAGCCAAGAATATGATTACGTCTCAGACACTGCAATATGACGCGTTTTATTATCTGTCAACAACAACGCTTAAGTTTACAGTAATTTATCATTGATTACAAAAATGTATGACATAAACGAATACTAGAGTGGTTTAATTTGCCTATTTCCAAAATAAATTTTGTTCAGAATTAAATACTATACCACTTCTAGGTAATATCAGATGCGACTAGACTGAAGGAAAAAAGAGTTATTAGTTTATTAACAATTATTGTAGTGTACATACCTACGTACCCACATATCTCAATGGTGAAGAGACATCCAACAAGAGAATCATTATGCAAAACCATTGATTTAATCAATGTGCAAAACAAACTGATTTAAAACACAATAATGCTTAATATATATAATAACTGAACACAATATAGGGTAATAATCTTTAACAACTCTATCAGTAAAAAACATTAAAAAAGTCCAAAATATAATAATGACGCAAGTCGCAGCTACAAGATAAAGACGCAAGGCGCGCGTTGCTATTATTTCTTTACAGGTAAAATATTAATTAATTTATCCTTTTGATCTATATACAGATCAAACATATAAACCTATCGAACATAGTGGAGTGCAAAAAATCATACAAATAAAACAAAATCTTAATTATTGTAAATAAAAATAAAAATAAAAATCACTAATTAGTTTGCGTGTTATGATCGAATTTTGTTTAAGCAATATCTATCAGAAAAATAACATAAAAGTAAGTACCGATTGTTTAGAATATATTTTTACAAAACACCTAGGGGCTGTTTCTATTAGTTAATGATTATTGTAAGATATCACTCTATACTATTTATATATACAACAGTTTGACAGAAAGTTGGTGCAAATGGTTGTGAAATTTACTCGTTGTTGCAGATGGATAGAGTGTACTAAGTGTGATTTTGATTATTATGAATGTGATCATGTATATTTTGCTTCGCTACCGCTGCACTCGCTTACTATTAAATTAAAATGACCATGTGAGTCAACTGTGTTAGAAGTACTGAACTGAACTGTCAACGCCATCTTGTTTCTCATTCCAAGTGGAGTGTGCAAAACAACATTTTAAACAAATAATTAATGTTATGTCAAAATAAATAAAATATAATTTTGCAAAATAAGTAAAGTAAGCATCATTTTATTTTTATTTACAATTAACACCATAACCGCGGCGCTCGGTGCACGTATAACTATCACAAATCTCCATACATACCTACAGTGTAAATATTCTAGGTCTGGCAATTTTCCCAAGATGTATTACGGCATTACAGATTACAAAATTTTTCCAGCACTTCATTTTGTTGAATTTTGATGGTTGATTTTTAATTGAAGAAATTTTACAGTAAATTATAGCATAACATAGAGTTTTGTGATCTAAATAGAGCCGTACAAAATAGTTAATTTATGCTGTCAATACAAAAAATGATAACACAAAATTAACGACAGTGAACAATGTGAAGTTGTCGATAAGCCCGTATCTTTTATTAGAGCACGTACATAGTATCATAGGCTTAGTTCAAATGAAATAATTTAAAATACTTACTACTAGCACCTTAATTTTTCCTATTAAGTTGAATTTATATATACTTGTCTCATAAAATATAATTCGTGAAGGAGGTTACAAATGCGCTGTCACATCTGAGGACTATGAATGTAGTATCCTCTAACGCTATCTGATGCAGTGCGATGAATATTCCCTGTTTAACACTCTCAGATAGGTATAGCGCGATCCCCTGGGGCATATTTAGGTTAGTACTTTACTTTTTTTATGTGTGTAAAGTAACTTTTTCGCCATCTACATATATAGCTGCAAACTCTTTAGTGCACTTCCATAATTTGACTTATGAACAGTGAGGTAGCCGAACGCCATCACAGAGCAAAAAAATACCTAATAATAAAAATAAAAAATCTGACTAATAATTAAAAACAATTGAACTTGACTTCATCACAAAGCTGCATATCTTGTTCGTACTTTTGTGGCATTATTATCAAATTTTTGTCTTGGTATTAATCATACTTTTGCAATATATATTATATATTAATTTGACGCACTTATTCATTTTATCGATTCCACTAATGCTGCCCATTCACCTATTTCAATATGATACATATACCTAAAATTCCGGCTACACGCAGCGACTTGCATGCGCAAATAATTTGTGCAAAAAAATTGCGCAAACAACATGATGTACTGCAGAAGATCCACGCGATAGTGTCTTGCATGCGCAAACAGTTTGTACAAAATTTTTGCAAAGAACATGTTTGGCGTCAACCCGCCGTCTAAATTACACGCTTACTTGTGCAACTTTAGTTTGAGCTAATCAAGCATTTGGTGCACGTACGGTATATCATTTTACCGGCTTAACGTACATGCTCGCTTGTGCAAATTAGAGTTTGGGCAAGTAAGATTAAGCGTGTAGCCGGGCCTTAAACCTACTAATTATAATACCAACCAACAATGGAAATAGACAAAAATAATCGTTTGAAATAGTTTTGTTTACTGCTTAGTTGTTTAAATTATTAGGTATATGTTATGTGTATATAATTGAAGTTATGTTAACCTAAAACCTCTTTTTATAATTTCTCCTTTTTTACATGAAATAAGATAACTTACTTTAGTGTAATCTATTTTTATAGCAAAACAATTCTTATTTTTAGCTACACTTTTACCAATTCTCCCATTATCATTTATTCATAGGGTAAATTCAACTAAAATCACTTCCTTGTTTTATTTTCAAATAGTAACATTTAAGTTATTGTTTTTACTGGAAGTAAATATAAAAAATTGCTATTGTAATAACATCTTTACAATGAACATATTTTATCAGTGATAATTTTTATATTAGTATTATAAAATCTTATTTTTAACAAAATCTACCCTTACGATTTTCATAAAACATTTTTATCACATGTAACACATAAGTATATATTAAGACTGTATCTCTAAAAATATTATTATTGTATACATTTGTTGAATATGTAGACAATTAGCACTATATACTAACAGGATACCATAAACTTACGCATTATTCTTACGGTTAAACAAATTGTCACACATGAAGCTTAAAAATATGTACAAAATTGTTAACTTTAAATCGCGTAGCTAGAATAATTTAGCTATATTTATTTATAAAGCTATGCGAGAACAAAGTAATTTAAGGTTCTTTTCAGTTTTCTGCTTAATTTACTTTCAGAGTGATTTCAGCAAAATTCTTTAATTATATTCGAAAAAATTGTCAATCAGCTGTATTCCACACTT